GGCGGGCCGGGCGCCAAACAGCTCTTTCCCACGTTGTCAGTGTGGCCCCGTGTGCTCGTATGTAAGGCGAGTTCTTTTTCTCTTATTATTCAAACTGCACGATTGTAAACTGTTTCTGTTCAAGTTTTATTTGCATTTGTGAGTCAATATTCAAAACAACGAAGAGACGAAGTTATGTCATTACGGCAATAAATAACTTTATGGCATTTGTTCTTTTGTTTTTTATCCTTATTTTTACGACGCAATAAGTCTAATTTTCTCACATGTGGACATATTTACTTTAATTAAAATTACTTAATAATTTTATTGGAAATAATACTATAGCTACCAAAACAAATTATTTTGAAGTAATTTCAGGAAATATACAGGCAAGCTTATTACGTGTGAACTCATTTCATTCGACCACAAAGCATTCTTGCACAGAAGACTGAAACGTTTTCTTACATGAAGTATGACATTCTTAAAGAAGATAATGAAATAAGGGTATGGTTTTAAAGAGCTGGCAACATTGTATATCCCTGACGTTATATCAGGTTTCGAAATACAGGATTTATTCACTTCGTTTATTTAAACTCTGTAAAAATAAAGGTATCATTACCATAATAAATAATTGGAAAATTAGTTTTATATTTTCTTTATTTTCCAACATCGACTCCTACGTATACTCTCAGTTATTTATGTTTCATCTGCAATTGTGTAAAAAAGCAGTCACCAATGACAACAAAGCAGAAAATTTTCGTTCTAATCGCTATTCTCGAAAGCACTTCTGGCACTCTAGCAGCCCGCTGCGCGGTAGGGACGCGCTGGACACAGGCAAGAACCCTGTGGAACACCCTCGGCGGTCAGGATGGGGCGGGGGCGTGGCATCGGAGCGTTTGCGGAGGGCGCGCACTCGCTCGCCCCCGCCCCCGCGGCCGTCGTCAAACACGCACTACACGCTTCCTCTTTCAGGCCGCCCCGCCCCTCCGCCACGTCCCGCACACTGGGACGGGATCGGTTGAATAACGCCCGGCATGCCTACCGATCGGTGGAATATGTTTTCTCATCAAACACTAATTCTTTGTCGTGGGGTGAATATGTGAAAATGCTTTGCGAGAGGTGTAGATTGGGTAACAAATAATTGGGTACCTAATAGTGCAATCTTAAATGCCCCACATTTGAGTTTCTTGAAGTGCTGATGCAAATGCAAATTGTGTACATTCCAAAATTAAAGAATTACAGAATTTGGTGAAAATGCCTAGAACAGAACACTGCAAATATTTAATGAAAAATTTAGCAATGTATTTTGTTCTGTTTGTAAGAGGGAAATATAGAAAATCAAAATTTAAACA